TTTTTTCCTCTGGTATGTAGTCCATTAGATTGTGTACATCTTCAATCCTTTTTATTAATTGGTACCATTTGGATAGGCCAGGACTGTTGGTAAAAATGGAATTCTGTCACTTCAACTGTAATTTATTCAAATTTGAAGTTGTTAGTGACAAAACCCATAATATTTTTCTAAACTGTTAGTCACTGGTTGATTTAAAAAATAAAAAGATGGTAGCAGTTTGAAATCTGAAAAGTGATTTTTTGATTCCTTTTTTATTTTCTACCAATATTCATTTTGTGGCTTATTCGTAATAAAAATAATAACTGCATTTAGATACTCTTTAAAAAAGTAACAACAAAGGTGCAACAAAGCCTTTGGAAAACAAGCACAATATATAGAAATTTATTTATGTTTAAAGAAAACAGCTTCAGAACAATACTAAGAAATTGAGAGTGTTATTTAAAATTTTACGAGATTGGAAATTCTTTACGAAAAACTTGACACATTGTCAAGACTCCATTAAATTTTTAATGAGATGTAAAGACAATAACTTAATACCAAAGGTCTTGAAGTTACGTCCAGCATATTCAAGCAAAAGGTAAAAAATTCTAAACAGAGCCAAATTATCCATGATACGAGAAAGGTTACAGTTTCATAGATCCAAATTAGTATTTTTTTGAACAAAACATTGTAAGAATTGAATTGACTTTTCAATATGATATTAAATTCTAATTTTGATCAAATTAATTTTAGTTTAGACATAGTATATAAAAATCATATTATATAAGTAATAAATTTAACAAAGAAATATATAATTAATAAATTTAATATTTTCTTAGAGCAAACCAATATACATTTTTTAGATAACCTCAATATAAATAATTTGCAAAATAGACTATTATAGAACTTTATTTAATTTTAAAAAATACAGCTTTGTAAGTCGAAAAGTAACAACCCTGCTGTCCTGTTCGGGTCTATTTGACTAAAAAAAAATTTCTTTCTTATTTTGCAAATTATTACGCAGCGTAACGTTTTAGTGTTTCGGGACTTTATTACCCAATATAAGGACTTTCAATTGCATATGAGATAATAATTAGCTTCCTGATTTTTTGGATAAAAATTAAATTGTTACCTATAGCAGGTGTCACCAATTATATTCCTTGAGGGTCCGTTTCCCGTGGTCCGGGCGTAACGGGGAAGGGGGGGTTAACCAGAGACCCCAATAGTTGTAAACTTCCCTTAGGAGATCATACTGGTTACGTAGTTGAAACCACGCAACCTCGTTTAAGAAGATAGCCTCGAGGCCCGAAGAGGGGATCCAAATTACCTTTTTTTAAATCCACACTATCCGTGCCAAAAAAGTCCACCACAGCCTTGTGTAAATCCTCTTCCGTAGTAGTTTCTGTTAAAAAATGCAAAATACTCAAAAGTTCTTCTCTCATAAACTCTTCAATGGTTCTGTCCAGGCAATGCACGAAAAGGACAAGTTGTGCTGTATCTGTAATGTCGCATGACTCATCCAATGCCAAAGCAAAATATTTAGTGACAGCCAAGATTTCTTTTAACGTTTTCTATGTTTCATATGCCAATGCCTGTGTATCCCTTGTGCTTGAAGTAGTAGATATTGGAATACGCTGAATAGTTTCGACAACATCCTTTTTATTTTCACATAATAAATTTCCTGCTTCCAGAAAACACTCTTTACCGATAACCGCGTCACTAAACGGCTTCATATATGTTTGGCAAGCATCCAAGAAATGCGTGAAGAAGCCTCAGAACATTTCCTTCTTAGATTTGATTATAATTGTACACTATAATTTTATTACTATATTTTGAATTTAACGGCGGTCCGCAAAAAAACAAGCTCACGGTCCGGAAGCAGACCGCAGTCCGCTATTTAGTGACCTGTGGCCTATAGTACGTTCGGGTCAATATAACCCACGTATTTAAACAGTTAAAAATTACCTGTGGCGTATGTTTAGTTAGCACTATTTTATATATTTTTTAACATTTTGTCAGTCAGGTACATCCATAAATAGAAACAAGTTTCTGCAAGCTAGAACTTGTAAAAAATGTGTAGTGTAGCTGGACGATGTCATTTAGAAGGACATATTACATAGAAGGAAGTGAGGATGCTAGATAAGTGGTAGGCTGGTAGGACACTGATTTGCCAAGCGCATTCATTTACCTTTCAAATTTAAGTCTATGTTTGCATGCTGATAACGTCGAATCGAAGAACGCTAACCGAAGATGAGCTTTGCAAGCTCACGAACGTGTCAGATAATAATAAGTGCATATCAAAAACAGAAAACAATACAAGCACTGAAAGTGAGAAAGAAAGTAGTGATGATTTTGCTGCTCCATTCTGCGTACAACATCCTGTAACAGTTCCTTTAAAAGAGTAATATTCGGTAATATCCAGTGGTCTCTCGATCCTCCTTATCAACGTGTCTTTTTTTTATGGCCAATCCTATAAATATTGGTCCAGGAGTTACCAGGTACGCACGTGCAAGAATTTTCGATATCAAAAATTCATTTGAATCACTCTTTTCTGACAAAGTTGCAAACCAAATTATAAATATGACCAACACAGAAGGACAGCGTGTTTTTGGGATCAACTGGAGAAAGACTTATATAAAAATCTAAAAGACTTGGTAATCCTAACACAGATAGTTGCTTTAATTGTTTTTTGTCGATCTACTCAATCAAACGCCTGTTTTAAATTTATATAAAGTTGTAAATGGGTATGTTATATTCAACACATTTTTCATGTATACCTCTCAACATATATATTTGGTTTATAGTTGACCTCTTTGGTCTGAAGCCACATTGGTATTCACCCATCATCTCCTCCGAAAACGACTCCAGGCGGCTGTATGTAATTCCTAATAATATATTGTAGACGACATTTAAAACTGTTATGCCCCTATAATTTTTGCAGAGTCGTTTGTTTCCCTCCTTGTACATAGGAAGTATGATTCCTACTGTCCAATCTTCTGGGATGACCTCTAGTATCCATATTACGGTCGATTAGTTTAAGGATACGCCTCCAAATTGCTTGTCCACCATTTTTTATCACTTCTGCAGTTATTTTATCTGTGCCAGGTGCTTTGTTATTTTTTAGATGTTTTATGATGTTTATCGTTTTTTTCAATGTTGGTTACTCAGCTAGCTACTCTGCTGTAAGGTGAATTATTTTTTTTTTGTGGATTTAAGAGCTTTTGAAAATGCTCCTTCCACCTTTTCATTATTTCCTCTTCTTCGCTGATAATTGCCCCATTTTTGTCCTTGAAAATTGTTGATCTTGTCATGTATCCTTGGAAATATTGCTTCGTTTCCTTGTAAAATTTTCTAGTCTCTCTTCTGTCATTATAATCTGTAATTTGTTCTATTTTTCTATTCAACATTTCTCTCTTTTTCCTTCTACATAATTTAAAATCTACCACCATTAAATATAGATCTTGAACAATAAAAAATATACAGGTAATAGATCATTAACCTAACTTAGCAATTTAAAAATTATTTCTAGAAAGTTGTAATATATTACAGTTGTACATTGGTATTAATTATGGAAATCTGGTGTACATACAAGTAGTAATTATTATGATCCATTTAAATGTAAGATATATTATCAGAAAAATTATCATTTATAACGTTCAAATGACGACAGCAAACAAAACAAAAACATAAATTTTTCTTGATAACAAGAGTTAACAGAACAATTAACCAGTAGAAAAAATAGTATAGACCAACTTTACCCCTGTGTTAGTGTTGTATATTTTTTAATATAATTAGTCGCTACGGCATATTTTACGCACCGATTTAAATAATAATGTATTTATATATTTTTTTTTAATAATGAGCATAAATCATATATCAAAAACAGAGACTTTGACAGATCTCATGAAAGTATGCCTGGGATAACGAATACAGAGTATCATTGAGGTAAGGAATATAGTAGAACTTTATACGATACTACTTTATATTAGTTAGTAGTATTAGTTTACAGGTTTTGATAGTTGTTTTAAGATAAAAACCGACACGGCGGCTGATTGTTCTGGTAATTAAACATGTAATTAAAAATATTTATTTTTTAATATAAGGTTTTGAATAATTAAACTTTGAGGGTATACAAGGCAACTATCGAACAAGGTGATTAATTTAATCGTGCCCAAGTACTTTCGATCAATAGATCATCTTCAGGGGCATTTCGTCAGTTGTGGCCTATCCGACATAGTAGAATGTCATAAATGTAAAATTTGGACATAACAATACAAAATACAATACACTAAGACAAACAAACACTTTAAAATTTATAAGGAGAAGCTACATGTTGTATAGAAGCTTTCCTAGAAGCTCATTCTGTCTCCGGCTTTAATATTATTTTATTTAAATTTCTATTTTTAGCTAATGTAATGCAGAAATGATAACTTTTCTTAAAACTTGTGTCTTATTTCACCGATATTAACACGAAAATAAACAAAATCATCTTTATCTCGAAAATTACTCATTCTGACGTACTGCAGTCTTGCACTGAGGGTGCGATATGTCTGTGTAGTATAAAAAATGAGGTTTTACAATGCTCTATTTATAATAACTCCACTTGCTCAATTTGCTGTTTTGGTAAATCGCAATTGATGTTGTAAGGCTCCGGAATATTCGGTGCTAATAGGCGGCAACTTCTTATTGAATTCGCGTGGTCCAAGATACTGGATTCTAGCGGTAGTTGTACTATAACTCGTGCATTGACGTGTTAAGATGATTTATTTACATATTTGTTTATTTTTTAAACAGTAATTACATAAATGAAATACAGCGTAACTATTAAAAATGTAATATATTATACATGCGTTGTAATCTTTAATCTACATTTATTATTTAAGGTAAACATTATCGAAGTAATTGCAAATTTATAAACCAATTACCAACTTTAACGATAAACCACCAATTAAGAGTTAAAAAAACCAAAAATACGATTTTTTATTTGTTTGGTAGTTTTCGGTCTGTATGGTATTTTTAAAATTTGATTTAGCATACGTATTTGAAAATATGTTGACAACTGTATTAAAAAATACCTGTACAAGACGTACACAATTAGCTTGGTTCAGTTTTCAAAATGTAAACAAAAATAATAACAGCATTTCTCCGTAAGTAAAAATTATTTTAATATTATACATGTAGGTTGTGGGTAGACAAAATAGTCTGGCCAGAAGTTATCTGTTTAAAATAACGATTTTTGGGTGTGAAGCATATAAAGTTTTTTGCATAAATCGCTCCAAAATATCAATCGATATGATAATTTTACTATGCGTGAGTTGTAAAGTGTGGGCTTAACTTTTTATTAAACGAAATAAAAAAATAATTCGATACTTTTTCTTCTTTTATTTTGCATATATCTTAAGGATTATTGGATTCAGAATAATTTTGTATAAGACATAAAAGTTTTTTGATTAAATTTTACATAAGTCAATGCTGGTCTCAAATCTTAAGAAGCATTATTATTGTTGGAACGTTGGAAAATACTAAGAATACAGGAAAAAACAGTTAAAAAAAGTTTATTTATAAAAAGCTTATTTTCCGTACTAAAATTTAGGATTTAGGACTTTAATCATCACTAGATTTCGGGAATCAACAAATTAAAAAATAGAAAATCTCCTGGCGCAGACCAGATCACCGCAGAAGTTTTGAAAGAGACTGGAGATGTTAAAGTAAATGTTATGCATATAATATGCAAAAAGATTTGGAAAACCGAAGAGAGACTAAAAGCTTTTCTATTGCTCTGGATATCAGAAGAACAATCGGAATTTGTTCCAGGAAAAGGCACAAGAGAACACATCCATAATATCATAACATAACATAACATAACAATATCTTTATTTTTAGAAAACAATATACATTCAGTGAACATAAAATTATTTAAAAAAAAACAGTGTCACAAACGAAAATATTATTTACTTATTCCTAACCGTTACATATGCAAATAGTCCTCCACAGAATATGGCTCAAGAGCTACCAGTAATTTAAATATTTGATGTTTATACACACTTAATCTTTCCTCCCTTTTAATAGGTTCAGGCAGTTTATTAAACAATTTGATGCAGCAATAAAGAGCGTTTTTTTCTGTTATACTTAACCTGTGTATTGGAATTTTATAATTATATAACCTGGTATTTACTATACTATTGGGCTCAAAGTTCCTAAATAGTATTTTATTTTTATATAGAAACAGTAAGCATTCTTGAATAAATACAGCATAAACTGTTAAAATATTATTACTCCTAAAATGCCCTCTACATGATTCCCTACTTTTTAAGTCAAACATAACTCTGATTATTTTTTTCTGAACCAGAAATACATTATTTATGTCCCTACTGTGTCCAAAATTTATTAGACCATATTTAAATTTTGCTTCAAAATTAGCATGATACACTGTTTTTAATGAGTTACTATTCATGTATTTTTTTAGAACTCTAAAGCTGTAAATCACTTTACTCAAAGACATACATAACTGGTCAACATGTTTATCCCAACATAAAAAACTATCAATATATAATCCTAAAAATTTGGTACTGCTGCTAATATTTAAAGTGTCATTATTTACAATAATACTGTTTGGCATATCTGAATGTGCATAATTTGTCTTAAACAAAAGAAGATCTGTTTTATTTTGATTTAAAACCAACCTATTCATAGAAAACCAGTCTTTAGCTTTCTGGAACTCTAAACTAGCATTAACGCTTAGAACAGACATGTCTTTACCACTGACTAAAATGTTAGTATCATCTGCATAATTTGTTATGCTGGAAGTAGTATTAGCCACTAGACCATGAAGATCATTGATATAGATCACAAACAGTAAAGGACCAATCACACTTCCTTGTGGTACTCCAATATTGATAGTGCTTTCAGATGAGATGCCGATTTCAGTGTTTTTATGTATTTTTACTAAATGTCTCCTATTTGCCAAGTAGGACTTAAACCAGTTCAATGCTGGTCCACGTATACCATATTTCTCCAATTTATCAAATAATATGTCATGCACTAAACAGTCATATGCCTTTGATAGGTCCAAAAAGAGACCCAAAGCCATATGACCAATCTCAGTACATTTCAAAATATCCCAGACAAATTGAAAAATCGCAGTCTGAGTTGATTTTCCCTGTTGATAACCATGCTGATTTGCACTAATAATATGACATTTTGTTAAAAATTCTGTTATCCGCCTATACATAGTCATTTCTAAGATTTTTGAAAAGTAACATAGAAGGCTAATTGGTCTATAGTTATTAATTAATTTAGGATCACCCTTTTTGTAAACAGGTGTTACTATGGCAGTTTTCAGGCATTCAGGAAATACACCAGATTTTAGTGAATTATTAATGATTGTAGTGAGAGGATTCACTATCTCCTTTATACAAAGTTTAAGGATTTTAGTGGGTATTTCATCAATTCCACAACTCATTTTGTTTTTTAAATTTTTAGTTATATTCATAATTTCAGTTTCTGTCACAGGTGTGACAAACACTGAATTTATGTTACTTGCTTATGTTACTAGCTCAAACAGCTAATTAAAAAAACTCGTGAATTCAATACTCCTATGCTTATATAGTCTGTGGATTATACAAAAGCATTCGATAAAGTCAAATGGCAGCAGTTATGGTCCATACTAGCGGAAATGGAAACACCCCACTACTTAATTCAACCAACTTGAAGTCTATATGAAAATAATAAGTGCACAGTGAAAATAAACAACACAAATTCCGGTAATTTCAGAACAGAGGCAGGTGTCAGGCAGGAATGCATAATCTCGCCAAGTCTGTTTAATATCCACAGCGAACACATTATGCGAAAGTTACTAGATGGATGTAAGGGTAGAATATCAGTGGGAGGTTAAAAAATCAGTAACTTGAGATATGTTGATGAAACTTTAATAATGGCGGCAAATCAAGAAGAAATGGAAGACATAATAAAATGTCTGGAGAAGAAAAGCAAAACATATAAACTGAAGCTAAATAGAAGTAAAACAAAGATCATGATAATAGACAAAGCTCGGAATAATCTTCAACACATTAGAAATTGGAAGCTGTAAAGTAGTAAATACTTCCATATACCTGGCGCAACAGCTATGATGAAACTGGTAACAATTTAAAAAAAATTCTAGCATAATAATACACACAAAACTAAGGCTGGTAAGGGCGCTCATTTTTCTCATAGCCACATATGCATCCGAAACATGGATATCCTGGATATCCAGGATAAATATCCTGGATTAATCATCGCACTAACGTATCGATATTATAATAACTTAAAGTAAAGGATAGATTGCTTAAAAAAATACAACAGAGATATTTGCAGTATTTTGGACACATTTCTAGAAGGAGAGATACAATGAAAAATTGATAGAGATCGAGGGTAGAGTTGAAGGAAAGAGACCTAGGAAAAGATCTCCAAGTCGTTGGGTAGATCAAACAAAAATATTCATTAACCAAGGGTTACACGAAGCCGAACAACTATCCCAGGATAGGGAAGTATGGGGAAAATTCGTGAAAAAACTGTAAAGCCCTGATGGTGTCACCACCTCCCAAAAGGGATTAGGACTGAGGAGGACGAGATTTCGGAAAATATGCACTTAAAAAAAAACATAAAATATGCATGCAGATATGCACAAAAAACAGTTGAAATATGTACTAAAATATGGTTTTTATGCTTTTATGCATTTAATGCATATAAATAAAAAACGCAGTAATATTTGTATCAAAAGTATTTAATCTACTTTGTGCTAAAATCACAAAAAATATTTATTGAAATTTGTATTATCTACTTCATTGTATTTATCATCATTCTGTATTATACTATTATTACAGGTAAAATCATATAATATTAAATGTTTTTCTACTAAAATATTCTGGGGTATTCCACCTCTAATTCGTTTGTTTGACTGGTCGATCTATTTCGGACGCTTCTAGAAGGGTTACGTCGAATGCATGTTCGTAATTCTGCTCCCCTCTTAGATCTGAGCGTCCTGATTAGCAACTCTATATGTAGGCCCAGGATGGCAGAATCTACAGAACTCTCCAGCTCTGCATGAACTCATCAGAAAGAAATAACAGTCTACTGTCTTTAAAGTACACCATCTTTTCGGATTAATGCAACACAGAGTAATTCGTACGACGGTTTCTTGGAAGATCATTTCAAGCATGCTTCTGAAAATCTTCCAATCCAAATTTTTTACTGCATGGCCTACCTTGGGTAAGGCTAAATTCTTGATGTCATAATTGCACACGATTTTCTTTAAATTAGTTAGAGCACGCCATATGCCCTGTCTGTATACGACTTTCTGGTAACCATATACAGCAAAGATCGAGAACCATTTTCCAATCTCAGTACTTTTCCAACTTTAGGCTGCTGATTTTTTAACTCATCCAAACAACCGAACTTTTTAAAAAATACGGACGTTATTACTTTTGTCATCTCAAGATCTTGGTGGGCTAGAACACAGTGGGCTAAAGAGACGTTATGAGGAACACTAAAAAGATCTTGCTGAACTTCTGTAGTCAGGCCGATCTAGCACTCTTTCTTTATGCGTAATTTGACATAAATTCAATAAAGCTTGGTCGCCGGTCATCTTTGATCTCCTGTTAAAGAGTTCGTGCTTCTTCTGTTTCGTTTAAGCCAGCATAAGGTATAAGACGATTTATGTGAACTACTTTTGGTTTACCTTCCGGGTAATTCTTAATTCGGTATATTACGTCATTTATTCTCTTTTTATTTTTATACGGACCTTCCCATTGTCTTTGCAATTTCAAAGACAAGCCTCGACGACGGTGTGGATTATAAAGCCAAACCAGATCATTTACTTTATAGCTTTCATTCTTACATCGAGAATCATATTGATCTTTCATTCTATCACCGGCTAACTGGATATGTTGTCGGGCAAGTTCAAGAATTTTGTTCATTCGTAACTTCGGCATAATCTTCGCTTGCAACCTGTTCTTTGGAAGGCCTGCAGCCAAACTTTGGTCGCGTAAACGAACTTCTGGACCTAACATCAGACAGGTTAGAGTCTTGCCTGTAGTTTCATTCACGGCCGAGCGGTAGGCCATTAGGAATAAATGAGTGTGCTGGTCTCAATCTCTTTGATGTTCTGATACAACTTTGGACAGTATTTACCCATCGTTCGGTTCATCCTCTCGAGCATTTCATCTAATTGAGGATATAGAGGTGTCGTTTTGGTCTTATTGACACCAATCAAATTACAAACCTTTTGGAAAAGGATTGACTCAAAGATTCGCCCTTGGTCAGATCTCCAAGGAAACAACAAATTGGCTAAAAAATTATTTAATCAGTACCTCTGCAATGGTCGCAGCTTCTTGATTTGGTATCTCATAGGCCTCAGTCTATTTCGTATAATAATTCATGGCTACCAGGATATATTTATTTCCATCATTCGTCTCTGGAAGTGGACTTGCAATGTCGATTGCTACTCTTTCCACAGGACTACCAACATTGTACTGTTTCATTAGTGCCCTCTTTTTACTACCGGGACCATTACTGGTTGCACACAGTTTACATTTCCGGCACCATATTCTTACATCATCTTTACAGTTCACCCAATACAACCGTTCCCAAACCCTTTTAATAGTCTACGTAATACCAAAGTGTCCACCTGCAGCATCTTCATGCAACTGACGCAATATTTCTTACACTTTACTTTTAACTACAATCAACTGAACATTCTTAAGTCGTTCTTAAATAATCTTCTTGGACTCGCTACAGTCTTCATCGCGTTCTTCTAGTTGCTCTAGCAAGTGTTTTACCGAAATTTGTACTAGCAGCATCTTTGGTAGGCACACACGTACTTTTTTAAATGTGTTTTTTGTACAAAGATTACTACCAAACTACGCGGATGTTTCCGACGAACAATATTTTTCAAATGTTCAAAAGTCTTTTTCAAAAGTCACTGCTGAATTTATTTTTAAATAAACCAAATATTCTCACACCGTGATACGAATTGTGCCGGTTTTAAATACAACGAGCGGTTCTTATTTAATATGAATATATAATTATTTATAAGTTTTCAGCACGAAAATATCTTATCAACAACAACTTTAACTCATAAAAGGTTTGCTTATATACACAGGTTATTATGTACTAGAATAGTCTTAAGTAGTCCACCTCTAATTCGTTTGTTTGACGGGTTGGTCTCTCCTGCGGTCGAAACTTGTGGACGCTTCTAGAAGGACAGATCATCGTCGTCTCGAAATGCAACCGTTATATGGGTTGCGTCGAATGCATGTTCGTAACAATACATTAAAGATTTGGATTTTAATTATTATTACTGCAGATTAATTATATTTAAAACCACATGACTTGGCAAACAATAAGTATCAAAAGTATTTTAGTTACATTGTAGAGCTATAGCTTCTAAACTTACCGTCGTTGCACCTTACAATTAGTAAGGTGCTAACCTTACTGCAGACTTACTCCTTTATTCGGGCTTGGTAACAGTACTGTTGAGCTACTAGTTCTACCCAACAGCACTGCTCCAATCATAAATCTAAAAGGCCAATATTGACGTAAAAATGTATTGCAAATATCATTAAACGTTCGACAAAATAATCCTCATTTAAGAATTATATCGTATTATTTAGTTTTGCGTGCTATAGGTTTATGTTCCACTCTTTTAACATTTAGGTTTATAACCATTATTATATGAATATAAAAAAATTAACTTGTTTTGTAGCTTCCAAACCGAATGTAAACCAGTTGATTTGTCCTTTGAAACAAATAAAATGTACGCCATGTTTCCTTCTATTTGTGAAGAAATTGTTGATAAACAGCTTGTTTACCATCTAGCATATCCCGAACTCAGAGAAAGGTATTCCCGTCTCTTACAGTATACTGTCAATAATAACGAGCCAAGATATAATGGTAAGGGAATATTTTCTGTGTATGCCTACAGAATGCTGGGGAAACCTTCAGTACTTACAGACGATAACATCAAGAAAGCTTGCATACTTGGATGGTGCCAGAGAATGGTAAGGTATTTTTTGTAATATTAATACTAATAATAATGTACACCTTCTTCTTAGTCTTCTTTTGTTCATTTTTGGACATAGAAATCTCCTAACTGCTTCTATCGGTATCTATCTCAGGCAACAACCAATTTGTTTTGGATATTCTTTTTATGTTGTCTCCCCATCTCATCTCTGGTCGTTTTCTTGGTCATCTACTTTTGTAAGGTTATTAATGTTTTATTGCGGCATTCCAATGTTGCTCTTTTTTTTTCAAGCAGTACGACCAGCTAAGCTTCATTTGAGTTAGCCAATTTTTCTTGTAATATCTTTAACTTTTGTTTTTGATCTTACTCAGTCGTACTCTTTTTATCTGACAGTCGTATAGCTAACTATGCTTTTTCCATTGTTCTTTCTGTTGTGGCTGATTTATTCACATTTGCCTTGGTTAGGGTCCAGCTTTAATATCTACCTGTCATGATAGAAAGGATGCGCTGATTGAACACTTTGCTCCTCAAGTATAAAGGTATTTTGCGGTTATTAAGTATTTAACTGAGTTTTTCAAATCTTGTTTATACCAGTCTTGCTCTTCTAGTGGAAAATTGGCCCAGTAATAATATTACTGAAACTCTTGTATAGACCAATAAGTTTGTTGCCAATTCTGTCAAAACTACTAGAAATATATACTTAAGCAACTGATCTGGAAAAAATCTAATGAAAAAAAAAAAAACGTTTACCTGACTATCAATTTGTTTCCCAAAACAAATATGGCATACAACTAACAATTAATTACCTAAAAGGCAAAAACTTAATGTAGTGTAATCTTTCTAGATTCAAGTAGCGCATTCGATAAAGTATGGCGTAAAGCCTTCCTTTATAACATAAAACAAAACGTACTGTATTCCTTTTAAAAAATTATTAAATCTTATCTGATTATGCGAAACTTAAAATATACGCAATGCTCTCCGAAATGTTTTCTATTTCTACAGACGTACTATAAGAAAGCATACTGGAATCAACCAGGTACTTGCTAGTTACTGCCAATCTATCTGAAAATAAATCGTCGCTAGTTGCAACCTGCTGGTGTGCTGATGACATTGTTATTATGAGATCGCATACCAGCGTAAAACTGCCTCTAGATGTTTACACATCGCTCTCGACAATATAAAATATGTATACTCATGTAACGTTCACTATAAAACAAGATATCTGTCCAGTAGTCAAATTTAATGAGCTTTAGCTTTAACATTCCGTCCAAGCTAATTACTTACTTACTTACTCCGTGGCGTTACAACCCTTCGTGGGTTTTAGCCGACTCGACAACATGCCTCCACTTTTTTCTGTCTTGAGCAACCTCCATCCAATTCTCCACGCCCATAGTGCTTAGGTCTCCTGCTATATTATCTCGCCACCGAAGACAAGGGCGTCCGCGTGGTCTCCTTCCAGTTGGGACTTCCTCCCACACCAGTCTTTAGCCTCCCATCCAAGCTAATTACCTAGGGATATATCTGGACCGCAGATTAATATGGCAGAAGCACATCTTTGCTAAAAGGAAACAATTAAAACTGAAACAGTAATATCATCTCATAGAAAGAGAATTACAACTCGCTCCCTAAAATAAACACCTCCTAGACAAAACTATCATAACACCGATGTGGACTTATGGTGTCAAATTATGGGACAACACTAGCAACTCCGACAAAGACGACGTCATACAAAGGTACCAAAATAATCTTAATTTTCCGAATGTTAAAAAAAAAGTGATCAAACAATTTTTTGTATTCTATTGGGAACGAGTGAAATCACACCGAAACAAACTATCTTATAAAGTTACCAGAAGAAAATAAAAGACTTAAAAGGTTCAACCCATCTAATTTATCTGAAAGGTTTTGATCTATGCACCCACTGCAGATAAATCTGAAAACGAAACTGAACAATTCTACTAAGAAATCAATCAAGTATTATAATCGACGAAACCACGAGACATCACCGTAATTTTAGGTGATTTTAACTCAAAAATTGGTAAAGGAAACAGTGGCACACATGTAGGAGAATACGGACTCAGTAAAAAAAATTAACGAGATGACAGACTACTTCAATTCTGCCAGGAAAATAACATGATTGTATCTAATACATTCTTCAACTTACTAAAGAGAAGACTTTATATATGAAAATCACCCCAGGACCATCGCGAATATGATCCTTCTTCTCATGTACAATCGAAAAATAATGGTGTAAACAAATACAGAAAGAAATCAAAATAGAAATCAGAATAGCAAAAGAAGATTTTTATAAAAGAAAATGTGATGAAGTAGAGCAATTGCAGTCAAAACATGATATTTTTAATGTACATAAAAAAGTGAAAAAACTTGCAGCTACACAAAAACGTAAGCAGCCAAATATGTACTCTGTATAATGTCAACGGAAACATAATAACAGAACTAGAAGAACAGTTGAAGACATAGAAAAACTATATTAAAGAACTCTTTGCAGATGATAGACAACAATCTGAGCTAAGTAACATACAAGACGAATGTCCAGAAATAACGGAAGAGGAAGTAATGTAAGCACTAAAAAGAATGAAAAATGTTAAAGCCCCAGGTTCAGATGAAATACCAACGGAAATCCTTAAACTAATAGAAAAAAATTCGATTCACCTTTTAGTTGAACTTTTCAATAGCATTTATACATCAGGAAAAATACCACAAGAATGTCTTTTATCCACCTTTGTTATTATAGTACTCGAGACAAGAGAGACTTGGAACAAGAGAGGCGTTGTTTGCACTGAACGTTATATCTCAAAGATGTCTTGACATAAATCAAGATGTATTCATGTGTTTTATAGATTACAACAAGGCCTTTGATAAAGTGCGGCATGATCACCTAATCAGACTCCTGACAGAAAAGAATTTAGATAAACGAGACATCCGACTAATAGCAAATATGTACTACAATCAGAAAGCAGTAGTGAGAGTAGAGAATAATACCACTGAAGAAATTAAAATAAAGTGAGGTGTGAGACAAGGGTGTATACTGTCACCAACCCTGTTTAATCTCTATTCCGAAGATGTAGTGAATAGAACACTCTCTGAGCAATCCGTAGGTATTAAAATAAATGGTGTTAGATTAAACAATCCGAGATTTGCCGACGACACCGTTCTGATCGCAGAAATACTTGAAGAGCTACAGACATTGGTGAATAAGATAGCAGACTGCAGCGAAGAATATGGACTATTTTTTAACATAAAGAAAACTAAATTTATGGTAATATCGAAATCAATATCAAGTGTCCAAAATTTATATTTAGACAATAAAATAAATCGATCGAGTTGGCAAATATAAATATTTAGGCACTTTTATAAATGAAGACAACGATAGCTCAGCAGAAATCAAAATAATAATAGAAAAAGCCAGATCCATATTCACTAAAATGAAGAGGGTGTTCTGCGGAAAAGATTTGAGCCTTGAAATGAAACTTCGCCTGATAAGATGTTACGTACTTTCTGTGGTGTTCTACGGAATGAAGTAATGGACGTTGAAAAATATTGATAGCATAGAATAAAAATTAGAGGCATTTGAACTGTGGATGTATCGCAGAATCCTGAGAATATCATGGACCGAGAGAGTCACAAATGTCGAGGTCTTTAGAAGAATGAATTAAGAAAAGGAAGTCATATTTACGATCAAAAAACGAAAACTGCAATACTTGGGACACATTACAAGAGGCTAAAGATATGAACTGCTTCGAATAATTATGCAAGGGAAAATAGCAGAAAAAAGGTCCATAGGAAGAAGACGAAACTTCTGGCTAAAGAATCTACGGAAATGGTATAGCTGTAGCAACAACGAATTGTTTCGGTCAGCAGTTTCGAAAATACGTATAGCCCTGATGATCGCCAAGCTTCGGAACGAAGATGACACTTGAAGAAGAAGATAGACGAAGACAATTGAAGTGCAATAACTATATGCTTTAACAACATATACAAAGCTGGTAAGATACCTACAGAATGGCTGCTATTGACCTTTGTACCGCTACCAAAAACCAAGAACCCCAAACACTGTAATAACTATAGATTAATCAGCTTAATGTCACTTATTAAAAACATTTTTAACGACTATACTTGCAAGAATATTCAGAAAGTATGAAGCGGATATGAGTATTAGACAGTAGGCTTTCGCAATGGCTTCGGAATAGTGAAACTTCTGTATAGTTTTACACCTCTGGCCCAAAACTGTCGAGAAGAGAAAGATCTTTTCGTTGCGTTTTAAAATCATAAAAAAGCTTTTGGCAAAGTTAAACATAACATTCTCATGAAATGTCTAAAGAGAAAAGGACTTGACAAACATGACATTAACATAGTGAGAAATTTCTATTGTAACCAACAGGCTGTGGTAACATTAGATGGAAATAGCACGGATGCGCAACAGATAAGCAGAGGAGTGAGACAGGGCTGTGCACTTTCACCATTACTATTTAATATATACTCCAAAGAGTTATTTACGCAAGCACTTAAAAAATGTACACAAGGGATAAATATAAATTGTGAAAATATAAATATCATCCGTAATGGGGACGATACAGTCCTTATCTCTGGAAGTAAGACATACCTGCAGACGTTACTAAACACAATTTGTAATACTGGGGAATAGTTTGGTTTAACGATATACATCAAGAGAACAAAAACCATAGTTATCAGGAAGAGGGGCAAAGTCATTATAAGGATCCAGATATAATATGAAGATATTGAATAAGTGTACAAAATGAAATACTTAGGAGTCTGGATTACGGAAGATCTGAATCCGAAATTAGAAATTCGCTCAAGAATAGAGCAATCACAAGCAGCCTTTTTAAGAAAAGGGTAACAGGTAATGAGTTAAGAACGATGAGGAAATGTCTTAGTAACCAAAGACTCAATCTGCAAATCCAATATCGGATGGTAAAATGTTATATCCTCTATATTCTTATTTATGGTGTCGAAGTCTGGACTGTAAATGTTGACTTAATGAGAAAACTGGAAGCTTTTCAGATGTGGCTTTTTAGGAGAATTTACCATTGACCATTGACCACCATTAAAACGCAAAAGACATCATATTTGGAGCACATACTTAGAAATCATAAGTACGAGTTGTTGCAGCTGATTATGAAGGGTAAAATCGAAGGAAACAGGGGTCCTGATAGACGACAAATATCCTGGCTGAAAAACATTCGCTACTGTACCGGTTTAAACTCAAGACGCTATTAAGAAAAGCAGAAGAGAAAGACGAATTTGCAATGGTTATGGCTAACCTTCATTAGTGGAGACGGCACTAAAAGAAGAAAAAGTTTTATTCCTTAAATAATATTTGATAAAATTATAGAGCATGATGTAACAGATTTTCTTTATTTTTGTGTACCATTTTCTTTCCATACATTTCTGTTGATTGAACATTTCTACATCTACATAATGATATTAACAGTAACATATATATTTTTTAGATTGACGTTAGTGTAATAATCGACGACGACATTTTTGATATCTCAGATCTAAGGTACAATAAACCAACATGGCAATCTCTTGAAGGTGTTGGACGCGACAAAGCAACCTTAGACGCAGCCTTTGTGGAATCATCAGTATGGTATCTTTTAATAAATCATTTCAAATCTCATAAGTTTTTTGCTGATATTTTGAAACAAGTTCTGATGTCGTATGCTGTTACTAATATATCTCAATGTTTGGAACTAACAAAATATAACGTTAGCGAATTGGAAAGGTATACCTATTCCATGAGAGGATATGGTTTTGCCTTACCATTGCTTAGAACAGCTTTATATTTGGCTAATATTGACGATAAGGATGCACACAGCTTTTCGCAAAAACTGTCTATGAAATTGTCACATTTCATTAAAGTTGAGGTAAGATTTTTTTATTGAGATATATCACATAAAGCATATTGTTTTATTGTCACGGTGATACATAAAATAGCTCCTTTTATTGGAGTCAATAAAAGGGGCTATTTATTAACTACTTTTTACTCGAGCTTTCAATTGTGTTGTTCACAATTATTATCAAGAGCTGCTAAAAATACAAAATCTCTTACAAAGTTTGAATTAGAAATAATATATATATATATATATATATATATATATATATATATATATATATATATATATATATATATATATATATATTCAATTTATTATCAGGATCGTGCTTCAAATATCGATCTCGTTGTATTTTACGTAAGAGGACAAAAAGGAAAGAAATAAAATAATATACAAATATTCAATCAACAAACAAATCAGATTATATTCACCAAATTAAAAAAAATATTAATTAACATTTATCCATGCAAACCCTTTATGAAAAACAATACTATTATACTAAATTTTAAGTCCTTCGATTATTTAAATATAAACCCAGCAAATGTTCCTGACAATAAAAAAAATTCAAAAGTCAATTAAGTCCCTCTTGCAAGATTTCACTTCACCACGCAATTTTTAAATAAAGAAACAAACTTACAGTTCTGGTAAGGTTCTTTTTCAGGGCTCTCGAAACACCTCTATATATCCCACCAGGAAAACAAAACCACGAAGACTACCCTTTGGCAATTTTAAATTCTAACTTTCTCAGCCCCAGCAAACAACACAAAAATTCACCATTCCACGGACTCTTCACTGCATCAACCCTTCTACCACCAGCACCGACGAAACTCTCAAAACAGCCGTTCTTCCTTCGGAAATTCTAAAGAGAGTGACGTTTGTAAAAGTTATTTTTCTATTCTCCTGTGCCATGAATAATTACTTCCCTTCTTGCTCCGACTATTTGTTGATTTTTTATGTTTGCGATTTGTTTATCGATTTCTATCCTATCTAATTGTCTCGCTTTTTCGCATTTGTGTCCTAAATCCTCCAAATTTTCTGCAATTTCTTGTTTGTCTTTGTCTTTTTTGTTTGTCTTCTTTTCTTCTTATTTCTAGATCCTCTATTTCCTTTCTAATTTCTGCATTCTTTAATGTCATAATTTCCATACGTTGTATCATTTCTCTCTTTATCCCCTCTACACATCCTTTAATTTCCTCTTTATTTTTTTTTATTTTATGATCCATCATCTGCATTGTTTCCTGTTGATTTTTTTCCATTTTATGTTCCATATTCTGGATTGTTTCCTGTTGATTTTTTTTTATGTTATGCTCCATATTCTGCATTGCTTGTAAGATTTTATCCATATCTGATAAACCCTGGCTTTCTTTTTCCATCGTTGGTTTTTCTGAACTTTTACTCCTTGTCGTAGACATTTCCGACGGATTTATATCCCCGCCAAACAATAAAATTTTTTTTTAATAAAAAATTTAAATTTGTTGTCGACAAAAAATAATCCCTCACACAAATGTATTACCTTGATTAGAATATAGAATATAGAATCCCAATATTAATTTTTAAATGGAAACAAACTGCACGAAAATGTATAATTTTCCCAATTGTCTCCGCACTAAAATACAACTCGATATTTTTCTAGCCCTTCACGTTCGGCGCCAGTTGTTATGATAAGTCGAATCTCTATTTATCAATTATTCAATTAATTGTTACCAAAAAAAAACAAAACTTACCAACAAATCCTCAATTTATTATCAGGATCGTGCTTCAAATATCGATCTCGTTGTATTTTACGTAAGATGACAAAAAGAAAAGAAAATTTGCAGATTTCCCCAATATTTAAGAGTTTACTATATATATATATATATATATATATATATATATATATATATATATATATATATATAAACTCTTTTGTAACCAATGTAAGAAGTTTAGTTCTCCCTCAGAGTTATGTACTGATTTCTCTAGATACAGTCTCACTATTTACTAATATTCCAGAAAATTTAATTTTTTTTATAATAGTTACAATATGGGAGACTATTAAAGATCATACAAAATTAACAAAACCAAATTTCCTTATCTTAATTAAATTCGTTTTCCAAAATACATACGTGAAGATTATGTGATCGAATTACGAAGAAGGATGGACGATGTACACGAGTTGGTCCGTTCCCATCTCCAGATCGCTAGTGACCGAATGAAGAAACGGTGAGATACGCAAGCCGAAAAGGGGTGTTTTAAGAAGAACGACAAAGTCCGGCTCTATAATACCAAAAAGCGAAAAGGCTGCTCTCCCAAGTTGCAACAATTTTGGGAAGGTCCATATCTCATTATGGAGAAGGTGACCACGACGTAGATGAAGAAGTGGAAGTAAACCAAGTCCAAGATATGTCTGACCTCACGTTTGAGGAATTCATGGGTGCCTATGGAGGTACCGGTAAATTATGATTTTTGACCTAGAAATTACGAGAATCAATACAAAAGAATTAGTCATAAAATATTTACAGGTCTATACGCCATAACATTTAAAATCGTAACACTCACTGATTGTATATTACAGCAGACTCAGTAAAACTCAGGTTTAAATTAAAATAAAAATATATTTAGAACAAATAAATAACAAAATAAAATTATGTTCAAGGTATTAGGAATTAAACGTCAGCTAATCTTACGGCTACGACATCAACGCACTAAGCCTCTCACTGTTTAATACCTGCAAAAAATAAAATACACTTCATGTCATAAAATTGTAATCATAATTATTTTGTGTTAATGCACATAAAGCAAAATAAGGATGGGCCAGAAGAATAGAGCTGGAACGGGTCCATAAACTCTTGGTCTGGCAGGGAGCAAAAAGTGACTAATCAATACTTAGCCACGAGAAAGAATGGATCTGTCTCATATCAATGATTACAAACTTTGAAATTATCTCATAATATAACTTAATATAAAGTCACTTTCAAGAAAGTCATTGTGTTCTAGAAATTGAATTATTACCATTTTCTTTACTAGATAACTAACTTCTGTGAGCGACATGTATGAAATTACATTGGTAAAAATCATTGGCATGATATACGGCTTTCCTAGTATATTTATATTTATATTAAAAATTGTTTAACTTATAGCGGGTTTGTCGACAGTCGATCGTCTCTATAAAATAATATATAAACCTGACTTCAATGTTGCCAACAAAGGTGAACTTGGTCAGCATAACATCTAGTACCCTCCTAGTGCCAACTGTTAGCTACACGTAGAATTTTTTAATAATTAACTGATTTTATTAACATGTTTCATATTGCAGGACGATTTCAATGGTGTGTTTAACCCAATGTCAGACATTCAGAAGTCATGTACGGATATTTCAGAAGGAAGACCTTCGTGGCTAGCAATTCAAGCTTATCAGAGAAGTAGCCCAGCTCAAAAGACTATACTGGAACAACATTATGGTAGAGCTAATGAAGAATCAGTACAAAAATGTTATGAGTTATTTAAAGATCTTAAACTGGATGAGGTTTTTACAAAATATAGGGAAGATTTCTACAATCAGATTTATTTAAGTATTCATAAAGATTTGCCCAAAAAGTTACCCAAAGAATTGTATTTGAATTTTTTAAATTTCTGTACTACTGGTGGTTTGAGAGTTTAATATAAATAAAAACTTAAATATAATGTTACATTTTTAAATAAACAAACTATGGCTGTCCCTACATGCTGAACATTTTTGCAAATTATAAAAACATAAGTGCTAGACTGTATGTTGTAATTATGCTCCATATCGTTATTTAATCTTTCGTGACTGAATCTCGTTTTTTTGGGCACTAATAATGAGAAGCACCTTTTACCTGCATAATATAAAATAATGGAGTACAAATAAAGTACAAAACAATAAATAATAAATAATATCAGAAACTTGCAACTGGGAAAATATAAATTATAATAAAATCATGATAAGTATTATGTTTATGTACGGGTGACGATAGAGAATGATGATACACATCATTCTCTATCATAAACAATGCATATGCAACACACAACACACGTTCACAAAACAGGAATACTCCGTATATACATACAATAATTTACAACTTATATTAACAATACTGAACACTTAGAATTATCAAAATTTGAATTTTCCATGGTAGAAAATATCCATTATTACATTTTTTTAGACAAATGTGGCTGTTGCGTATAACAAGTAAGAAAAATTGTATATGGGAGCTTTAGTGTAAGAACAACTTAACAAGAATAGGGGTTTGGCGAATGTAGTAGTCAATTTAACAAAAATAGAAGAGATGTGCTCCCAACATAATATTGTGAGACTTAATGCAGCTTGGCTAGCAATCTATTCCAGAGGATGACCAATTAAACTAAGGAAGGATTATAAATCTTCCTCTTGTCTTCTTTTCTTATCCTCTTAGTAGCGACTGCTTTGCCCAGCTTCCATCTACCATTCTCGCAAAATAGACGATCAACCTAAATTCTGGTTTTCATTTGAGCTCTCCGATCTCTGCTTTTGTTCATCTCCTTCAAACGTCTTTATAGTCTTTTACTTCCCCGAATAACTTTTTAAAACACTCAGTTGTCAGATGTTCAAATCATTTTCGTAATTTTTGTTTATAACCTTTGTTTTGCTTCCGCACAGGACCATCGTTTGGAACACTGTTTGGTATAGTCTCAATTTTACTTCTCTAAACATGTCTTTTGCATCTAATAGTTTCTGTATAGATCCGACCGTCTTCATTTCTTTCGAAATCCGTTTCTTAATTTCTTGGCGTTCTTTTCCCTTAGGAGGATCTTAGGGTTATTTCCGAATAGTTAAACTCCGTCACATTTTGAAAGCAATACTCTTTACGCTCGTTGTTTTTGGTAGTGTTCAGCTATGTATCTTCTTATGTGGTCTGTCCTTTGTTTTTTGCTCATTAATAATCAGTCTGTACTGTTTAGCCTTTGATTTATACAATTTAAAAATTGTCAACAGTTATGCTTTAGCTCTTGTCATTATTACTACATCGTCCGCAAAGGCCAGAACCTGGCTTCTGTTGTCATAAATCATATCTTTCGTTCGTATTCCACTCTCTCTCTCATTATTTCATCCAGCAAAAATTTTGGAGTATTGATCCACCTGCTTTAGTCCCTTCTTTTTAAAATTTCCTGTCAGACTTTCTTTTATCCTTACTCAATTAGTTTTCATTAAGGTAATTTGTACTAATCTGATCATCTTTTCTAAAGTTCCAAGTACTATTGGGGAATGAAACAGAATGAACCGAATCGTAAGCTTGTTTGAAATTCTTAAAGAGGAGGTTGTTCCTCTAAACAGCTTGCGTCTATCATTACTAGAGCTCGGGGAGATCCCACAAAAGAAACGGTATAACCATATTTCAATAATTTATAAACAACCGTCTTAAATTGCCCTCCATCGTACGTTTTCAATTACGATGAAACCGATGTTAGTGATGATCCGGGGAGAAGAAGATTGCTATATAGAAGAGGGACCAAATACACAGAGCAAATCACTAATCATAGTAAAGCCGCCACATCAGTAATGATGTGCGGTGCTGCTGATGGCAGATTACTCCCTCCTTGTTGTAGTAGTAAATGTTGCGCTAGACAGCAGCTATATATACCCAAACAAAAAATGGGTGGAGGTGTTTTGTTTTACAGACTGGTTTAAGACCATATTGTTACCACACGCAAGACAGCTTGAAGGTAAAAAATTTATGATTGGTGACAACTAGACGTATCACTTTTCAGATCATATATTAAAACTGTGTAAATTGCGCAATATTGAATTTTAGTGCTTTCCCAATAATTTAACACACATATGCAAGCCTTTTTCAAGCAAGCAAGCCATATCTTTTTTTAAATCCATGAAAGCTTCTTGGCGAAATATTTTGACGAAATTTAAATTGCGACACCCAAAGATTACTTTCCTGATGTATCTAAAGATCAATTTCCGTCGTTATTAAAAATTGCTTGGAATTAATGGATCAGACAATTGCAAAACTGAGCACAAACGTGAAGACTCTGAATAAAGCGCAATTAAGAGATTTTTGAAGAATCGGTTCGAGGCTTGTGGCATGGTTCTTTTTGATCCAAATAAAGTCTTGAGTAAAATTGCACCAATCAACCATGATGTTAAATATGTAGAAACTCTGATTAACGACAGCCTCATAGACAATTTGATTAATAAGAAGTCAAAGATAGGAGTTACTAAACGTTAAAATAGAAAAAACTTAATATCCAACCTTGTAAAAGTGTAAGTCAACATGTAACGGCGGATGATAGCTCCTCCGGTAGCGAATTAAACAGCTATACCAGTGAAAGCGAAAACAAAACTAAAAATAAAGATTCTATGGAGAATCATATGAAGATGAGATGAATACAAAACCATGTCTTGATGAATTGAATATTGGAACTTATGGGCTTGTAAAAATTGTGTCAGGTAAACGAAAATGTATAAATTACGTATATGCCGGAAGGATACAAGAAAAATTAACTTTTGGTGAATACGAACTCATTGGACTTACAACACTGGATAAAACTCATAAAAATTTTATCGTTGTGGAGACCGACGTTTTTAGAGTTCCTTTCACTGATCTCTCAGTAATTCTGAAGACCCCATCGGTTGAAACAAATAAAACAGCAACGAAATGCATATTTCCTGGCAGAGTTGATGTTAAAGAAAAATAACTTATTTTGTTTGCCTTTCATAATATATTCTTTTGAGTTTTTTTACTTTTTTATTGTTTTACTAATGTGCTAAAATGTTTTTACCTCAATAAAGTATTAGCTACTTCTAGAATCATTTATTAAATACTAATTATTGTGTCTGTAGCAGCTATCAAAGTCACCTCCCAAATTAAAATTCAAATATCTAAAAATTGGCTCGATTAAAAAATAGGTTGACATTGATATTACTATAGCATTTATGCATCGGCTAAGCTATTTCAAAATGGGGTATCAAAGTGACCCCACATCAATGGATGACTTTGATATAAATTTTTTATTTTTTTTTAAATCCTCAATTTTAAACATATATACTATCAATTTAAATTGAATAAATATTAAATCCATCCCAATGGCCAATATAAATTTAACCACTCCGTAACAGATTGCCGCTTTTCTGCATTATTAGTCACAGTCGTTATTGTCTTTGTCGTTAGCTTTGGATGTCTAATTCTTAGGTCTTGGTTTCTCCTGAAGTGTCTTGATCCAATCCGTGATGGTTTCAGCCTGCAAGTCTAACGTGTCCATTAAAATTAGTCTTGTTCTATAATGGCATATGGTAGTACAAAAGGGTAACCATAGGATTCTATGCAACTGACATTTCAAAATGAAACAATTATTAATTTATTATAAACTGTCAGTCCTCAAATCGAAATGGGTTATACTGCATATGAAAAAGTAGATATATTCTCAATTTTTGTAAAAAATAATAAAAACAAGCAAGCGGCAAGAAGAGAATATAGACTGATTTATCCAGATCGACAGACTCCTTCTGCAAATACATTTTTATATAATTATCGTCATGTCATATATGAAAAAATATTTGAACGGAAGGAACGTACTATCGTAGGAAATGATAAGAAAGATCTTAATACTTTGCTTTACTTTAAAGGTAAAATTGAAATACTTAAATAATAGATTAAATCCATAATAACATTTTTATTTAGAAAATTCCAAAACTAGTCTAAACAATGCTACTAATGCATTAGAGAAAAGCCGTGCGACGATACATAGAGTTTTAAAAACGCACAACTATTAAAAGTACAAAATATTACCGGTACAAGAACTTACCGATGTTCATAGGAGAAAGTGTTTACAGTTCTGTCAAGACAGGCTTACAAATTTGAACAATGATCCTAATTACTTTTATAACAATTTATTGACAGATGAATCAAATTTTTCAACTTCAAGCATTTTTAATAGAAGAAATAGGTATTCGTAGGAACAGAAATATAATAGAAAAAGTTCTCTTAAGCAAATAAGAGTCAGGAAGAAAATCAATAAATGTGTGGTGCAGAAAATTTCAAAACAAAATAGTTGAACCATTGTTTTATGATTATAAATTAACTGGAAAATCATATTTGGACACAGTTATTACAGAAGTGGATGAGTTATTTATTAAATCAAAATTATACACAAAATCAATTAAAAAGTATCATATGGCAACAAGATGGAGCACCGCCACATAATGTAGCCGTTCAAGAACATTTAAATAATCAATTTAATGTGTTGATCGGCAGTATGGGTACCATTACATGGCCACCAAATAGTCCCGATTTAACACCATGTGATAGCTTTTTATGGGGGTTTTTAAAAGAAAAAGTGTATTTTAATTAAAATACAAATATTAACACTATCACGACAAAAGTTCGCGCGGGAATTGAAAATTTAAATTGTCATAATAACACAATATCTGACGCATTAGAAAATTTGAGACGAAGATATTACTTGTGCATTGATAACAATAAAGGGCACTTGGAGCATATATTGTAATCTTAAATGTAGTATTTTAAGTTATTAATTTTGTTGACTTTCTAAATATATTTTTTCTAAATATATTATTTTTCTTACCTTGGTATAGTATAATAGTACCATCCGCCATTATAGAACAAAACTAATGCTACACTATGTTATATATTT